TCAGCAAACTCAAATGACCGCTACGGGGAAAACGTWTTGAGTATATTGAAGAAATAAAAGGTGAATCACTAAACAAAGTATTGAAGGCTAGACCGGAAATTGACATTAGCAACTGTTTGGAGGATTGGAAAAGCATTGGCACAAGTTTATTGGGGCAGGGTAGATAGCTTTTTGAAAACAAGATTAGGAATTTTAAAATTATGAACAAAGTTTTTTTTTTTTGTTTTGTTTTTGTTTTTGAACTTCTGAATTTCGTCATCGCCAGAACCCGTTTTTGGAGATCCTCCAGGTTCAAGTGAATCCAAAATCTTTCAAAATGAATCGCCTATTAATAAAGTATATTTTATTGTATAAAATGCCTCTTCTCAAAAATTCCAACAAAGTGCGTTTTTCCTGGCCCACAAGTTTTGTAACCCCTCAGGCTAGTTTGTGCATTACTATATTATTTAAACTTTACCAAAGTTTGTTATATTACCAGACCCTCTGCTATGGTGGTAAAGTTCTGAGTACAACGGCATACAATTGTCAGAACATATTTTTTTTTTTTTAATATTTAAATTTTTTTTTGCTTTTAATCGTCTTCATAGTCTCATTATTTCCAAGCACTGTTCGCGTAGATAAAAACATACGCACGTTTCCCTCACAAYCACCTGTTGCGCCGGCCACTAACTCGTCGTCGCAACGAAATTGCATAATGCGATGAATGCAATTGTACGCCGTCGCACTTAAATAATTTAATTGCGAAAGTTTGACATTGTTCAGCAGTGACAGCGAGTAAGCAGCAGAACTGGCGGGCAACAAGTGGTTGTGGCGTGATGGAGGAATAGCGGTTTATAAATATTTTGCGCGCGACAARCAGAGACAACCCGCGGAAGACGGACGAAAAAACAAAGACAAAAAAAACTGTACTTTACCGCCATTGTGTTTGTCTTTGTTGCATAGAATTAAATTTTGTCTGCAACAAAATTGTATTGTTGCTGTTGTTGTTGCACAGTGCAACATTTAATTGCAAACAAATGCGRTAAACGAGACAAAATGACGATTTATAGGTATAACAAAAACCATATAATGGAATTTTCGAGGTTAAGTGCAAGTAAATTTTATTTTTGTTTTTATACGGTAAATTCATTTCTTTATAAAAGTAATAACAAAGCAACATTAAATAAGATTTATATTTTAATTGATAGAAATTCGAAAAAATAATATTATAAAAGTAATGCCTGTTTTGTTTGATACAGTTCCAAGCGAAGCTCCTTGTGGTGGCCAATACTATTTCTTGCAAATTCCTCTATCAAACGGTCAAAAAAACTTAGTTTCATTGATAATTTAGTGCCCTCATCGAACCTTTTTTTTTTTTACTAACAAAATGGTGGACTCGGGAAAGTTTTTTCCAGATTTTTAGAAAAAATTCTGCAGTCGTTGTTTCTAAAAATCGAATGTTTTCAAAATCTTGCGRTTGTCGAGCTAAAGTGGTCAGGTTTCGAGAAAAACGCATTTGAATTTTTACACGAACGTTCCAGAGCATCCGAACATTCTTTGCTAAATATSGAATAACTCGAAAAGTATTTGTCGGATTTACTTGCGACTCCTAGGGATTGTTTCTAAGATATTATACTTTAAAAAAATTCAAAAAAAAACACAATCGGTTTTTTCTTTTAATTTTGACTACACGTAACCCGTAAAGCGAGTATTTTGTTTCAGATATAAAAAAAAATATTACCTTAAAAACTTCAGAGTTTAAATATTCAAGAATATGTCCACAAGTGGATTTTTCAAAATTCAAATTATTCTCGTTGATATAGTATACTTCGGTATATTGCATCCAAACCAGTTCGGCTGGACTTTAAACGCGATTTCTCAAAACTGTCTTTTTCAAAACGATTTTCCTGAATATTKAATTGTGAAARATACGTGTTTTRGTTAAAATCTTAACTTAGAACTTTGAAGAAGGAAAAAAAATGAAAACTGGATGTTTGGCAGTAATTTTCACAATGAAATAAAAACTTTAGTGAAAATTTGCCAATATTATTTTTTCCAAATAGTCGTAATCGTAGAAAAAAAAATCCTTCTTCCAAGTCTTTATGAATTGTATCTTAAAATTTCATAAAGATTGATTGAGTAATTCTCGAGAAATCTGGCCAACCGACTTCAATAACACAATTTCGAGAAACACGCGTTTAAAGACAACGCACTTAGCCTAGCTAGCCTCGAGCGCACAAGTTCTCAAGGCTGTATCTCCGAAACTAGTACTCGGCTCAACTTGAAAATGGAAGACAGTTTTCTAGAGGTGTTGTAGAATTTAAGAAGTCAAACAAAAATACATTTTGAAACCTCTCAACCCATGTAACCCCTTAAAAAATTTTCAACAGTAAAAAAAGTGGTATAAAAACTTCCAAGTAGTCGCCATTTCCTGAAACAGTTGTAAAAAAAATTTCCATAGAACCAGACATTTTGACATTGTTCCAGATTACTATATATATATATATAGTTTTTTGTTTCAGATTGCTAGAAGGGTTGAAAACGTGAGTATGGTCACGTGCTAATTTTTTGACTTTTCCATTTTGATTTTTTTCTGTATTGTTGTTATGTTAATAAAGATCTAATAAAAAAAACCGGGTAGTAAAAGTATTAGGTAAATATTACCTGAAATTCATGCCTCTAGACTAGAATAACCACTTAAATGAGTTATGTATCTTTCTGAAGTTTGTCAAAGATCATTGCCTAAGGCAATCACTGTAAAAAAGAGCCGAGCTCAAACTCAAAGGACATTTTCTAAACGACAAATTGATAATTCGCAGATTTATATTATCTAAGGCTATGCTACGATCTCTCAACGTATTGTTCAGATCGTACCACTCTAGCATATTGGTCTCATACAAACCTACCAAAATCAARGCCATGTAGGGAAAACTTTTTAGTGTGCCAATATATCTTCACGAAATTTGTCATAGAATATTTCTTAAAGCAATGCTACAACTTACGAAAATTTTGTTTAGATCGGATCACTATAGCATATAGCGCCCATACAAACTGATCAATTAAAACCAAAGTAAGGACCTTCTTATACCGCTCTATGGAAAATGCACCTTTGAGGGATATTATTCAAATTTAACTTTTTTTTTTTTGATTTTTCAAATGCAATTAATATATTTTTCGTTATTGTTGCACTTGGCATCTTGGCGCTGGTGAGCCAGTGTGAGCCAGCGAAGTGAGTAAAGCAAAACATAGTTTTCAATCATCGCATAGCAGCAGTGGGAGTAGCAAAAATAAATGAAAAATGCAATAGTACACGTAATTTAATTGCATTAATGACATTTCAGCTGTTTGTCGGTATGTGTGCGTTAAATCGCATTTAAATATTTTTGCTCACACATACACCCATGCACGGGTATAAATGCAACTTTGTGGTGTTCGCATTGTTATTGCACTTCGTTATTATTATTTTTAATTAATACTACTTACTTGCTATTCACACAAGTGTATGTATGCATGTATGTAWGTAAGTATGTGTATATGACTTAGTGGTTTTCAATCAATTTATTTTCCTGATGCTTTATGACCAATTTCGCGAATTAATTTATACCCAAGCAAAACTTGTTGCATTGAGGCGGTTTAATTCGGTTTACATAACGGTCTTTTATTGCAGCATTCGATTTATAAACCTAACAGGTCAATTGAAAAGTCTCCGCCTCCCAGTAGTTGACTGGCTATAGGGATCCTCGATATCAATTTTGTAATACGATTTGTCTTTGCTTCAAAATAGGCCTCAGTTTTGTAGATCACTTCTTCATTCGACAAAAATGTCTTCCCAGCGAACATTCTTTTGAGTTCTTCGTTTAGAATATAGTCGCTGGGGACAGATGAATGCGGTGGTTGCGAAAGCAATTCGAAACCCAATTCGTGGATTTTTGCTATCGTTTTCACTGGCTTGTGACACAGTGATTTGTGTTGGTGACACAGTGCTTTCTTTTTCTTCAATTGCGGCCGTTTTTCGGCGATTTCGTCCTTCAATTGGTCTAATAACGCTATGTAGCAGTTCTTTGATGGCCCTTACTTTTTCATGCTAGTCAATAARAATTATTCTATGCGAATCGGAAAATACARGCGCCATAACMTTGTCAGCCGGCTGTTACRKTCTTCCATGCTTTRGAGCGGGTTCAYCGTGACTTCGGAAAATAATGGAACCATGGTTATCACAAAYTATTTTCCGACCTTTTTTATCTTTTCGTCGGTAACAACAACGTCTAACCTTTAATGGTTCATATTTCAGTGGCAGTATCCAGTAACTGACTAAAAACTGGTTCAAGGGAGYGGCAATTTCAGTTTGGGGATCAAGAAAATCACACGGAGCCAAATTCGCTGATAACGCTGGTTGATCGAAGATATGTCTTGCTGTCTCTCTAACACTTGTCTGACGATTATCAATTATCATATYTCTCACGTTTTTAATATTTTCATCAGTTGAAGAGGTCGAAGGCAATGATCTCAGAAACCGCACAGTGCTCACCGAAGATATTCAATATATTCAAAGAGTATCTAAAAGTTTAGCTTCCTAAGCGACAAAGCAGCTAACGGTAGATTAAACAACTACAATTTACTCGTGTATATAGACTCCAATAAAATCTCATAAAAACGCCCGAATTATCAAGTTCGGTTTCAACCGAAGTTAAGACTTCCTTKATGGCTGCAATTTAACACCTTTGTTGAGAATTATTTTAATTCAATTTTAATTGGGCACATTAATTTTAGTTGAGCGATAAATTTCCGACAATTTTTGGTTGCAAATTCGTTGATGAACAGATTGTATGAACCATTTGAGAAATGAAACCAATACATATTTCTTATGAAAACATTAACTATTTTCTGTATTAAAATTATTCATTAATTTGCGTAACTGTTCTCTTATAGATATATTTTTAATTTCATTTGAATTTGTTATAATTATTTTTGGAAAAATTTGCTTTTTCTCAGCCGGCTTTAATTAAAATTATTTTGCTTACCTTGTTTCACGTAACTATGGTCTAAGTGCTWGAATGAGCATAAATTTTCATTGGCTGTCAACGAATAAATCTGAAAAATAATGAAAAAATAGTGTTAATAAATGTTACTTTATAAAATCAGGTGTTAACTTTCCCGGTATTTTTCTGGATATGTTACTCCAGAAACTAATAAAATTTRATTTTTTTTTATATTACAAAGGACAACCTATAGGGTTTGTCCGGAAAGCAATAGGACTGATTTTTTTCCGCCGCGACTGTACTTCGGAGCGTGMGCGCACCGACTRGATTCGGTAGRGRGCSTTCCTAGCTAACGAASTAGCGGCTGCAGAGTCARGACAAACATTTTCGCGCGACGTGTTTCTRTGAGTGGTGCAAGCCGAAAATGCAGCTTCGTTAGAGAGAGGTACACGMTTAAATTCTGTGTGRAAYTCAGCAAGAAGTGSTGTMTTTCGGTGGCACCAGGACTTTTTGGAGGGTCGGGAAGAGGCCGCTGATGAATGAGCAAATCCAAAGAGAAAACGATGCTCATTGTCTTTTTTGACATCACAGGCATCGTCCAC